GTGCTGAAGGCTAGACAAACATATAATGTATTGTTATCAGTGCTGAAGGCTATAAAAACATATAATGTATTGTTATCAGTGCTGAAGGCTATGCAAACATATAATGTATTGTTATCAGTGCTGAAGGCTATACAAACATATAATGTATTGTTATCAGTGCTGACGGCTATGCAAACATATAATGTATTGTTATCTGTGCTGAAGGCTATACAAACATATAATGTACTGTTATCAGTGCTGAAGGCTAGACAAACATATAATGTATTGTTATCTGTATTATTTTGTATATTACTGTAGAACAACATGTCCTCTAGAAATGGTTTGATATGTTTCATCCACTTCACTTTGAATACGAAATTGAAGGACTTGGCTAGTTTTTTGTTACCAACCTTAATAAGCTTATCAATGATTTCAGCTTTGTATGAAAACAGAAATGAATCGGTCAAAAGAGGGTCTGAGTAATATATCGAAGTAATATGACATGAACAAAATACATTCTTCATGCCTAAACCTTTCGATGAAATAGAACAGATCTGGTATTTAAAGATTTTTAGAAAATATGTTTTAGATTTGTATAAAATGTCTCCTGTGTATCACCTTATGTTGCCCCTCAGTAGCTGAAGACCAGGTTTTGATCCTCTTACACTACTGATCCTTCCTGCCATGTTTGATTAAAATCTTAGTTCTGCACTTTTGAAGAAAATGAAAATGTAAACTGTTCACATATGAAGCAGGATACTAAAAGACTATTTGTGATCCCACAAATAGATCATATAAGATCACTTAACCTAACATTACGACAATCACATGGTAGAACAGATATTACTTTAACTTACAATTTTCCTGTTTCTCCTGGTAACAGATATTCGGAATATTTTACAGCACTAATCTGTGTAACCTACAAAAATAAAATTATTAATGTAACTCACAACAAACTTTTGCTTCTTTCTATCTCGCATATCTGAATATTACAATAGTACCACTGGTACATCGACAGCTTAAAACCTACAGAACGTTGGACCTCTCCCCCTAGTCACTGTGTTGGTTCTCCAATATCCTTATTATCTTCTATATCTGAGTATAACAATTGCTGGGCCGTTACACCAACAGACCACAACCTACAGAATGTTGGACCTCTCCCCCTAGTCACTGTGTTGGTTCTCCAATATCCTTATTATCTTCTATATCTGAGTATAACAATTGCTGGGCCGTTACACCAACAGACCACAACCTACAGAACATTGGACCTCTTCCCCTAGTCACTGTGTTAGTTCTCCAATACCTTTATAATCTTCTATATTTGAGTATAACAATTGCTCCGCCATTACACCAACAGACCACAACCTACAGAATGTTGGACCTCTCCCCCTAGTCACTGTGTTAGTTCTCCAATACCTTTATCATCTTCTATATTTGAGTATAACAATTGCTCCGCCGTTACACCAACAGACCACAACCTACAGAA